TGGAGCACGAAAAAAACCATTACTTCTTGCGACTGATATGTTATCCAACTCGGTTGTTGCACATTCTAGCAAACTGTGTATGTTGTATGTCAGAGCATTGCAGCATTCACCCATACCATCCTTGGTGACCATGTCATACCCAATTGCGATTATTGTGTCAATTAAAATATTCCTTAATAGTATTAACGCTTCTTCAATTCATATTAATGGCCAATAAATCTATTCCATTCCTTTCTTTATTTTCGTTGTTATTAATTTTGCCTATTGGTTTTCCCAATGATCCATAATGACTTAAATCATGATATAATCTTTGAAATATTTGCTTTTCTGGTTGTCGTCGTTCCGGATAACGCGGAAAATATGAGGGTAAAGCTGCATGCATCTTTATTTTTATTACTCTCGATATAGCAGTTTACGATGTTTAACGGTTCATAGTTTAGATAATTGATATTCATTTTAGCCTTTTTAAAAACATATAATCGAAAAGAGAAAATGAAATCTAATATATAATTGAATGACAAAATATTTTATAACGTAAATATTTGGCAATAAAAAAAATGCTATTCGATATTTTAACTACATAGGACTGTTAGTTTTGATAATATCTCGAATTTTTTTTTAAGTATCGCACTGGATTCTACGTAAAAGAACATAAAACTTTTGAATTTAAACCGAGTGATAATTAATATTTATTTTAAACATTTTAGAAAAATATAATCGAAAGGAAATATGAAAACTAATAATCAATTTAATGACAAACAATCTTATAATATGGATTTCACAACAAAATGGTTTTTCAATACTTAACCTACTGAGAACAAAATGTTATATATTGCTCGATATATTACGGCAAACCCAAAATTCATTTTTTTGAGGTACGTATAGACACGATATCCTATGATGTGAATAAAATGTTAGTTTTGGTCTCTGGATAATTAAAACAAAACCGAGTGATGTGAGATAATGAGATAATGATAATGAGATAGATTTGTTTTGCACCATTAAACAAAGGAGAACGGGATCTACATCTTAATTTTTTGTATCGTTCACATTTTTAGCCTATACCCCATAACATCAACGAATAAAGCCCCCCATACATATTTCGTCAACGCTGGTAAATAATAAAATAACGCTTTTTTTTTCACAGCTTCAGCTGGTTATTTCTGATTTTTCCAAAATAGCAAAGTCAAAGAGGCTCTAATTTTATTCTAAGATGTGAAGACCTTTACCCATTTAATAACCGAAACATTATTTGTTCCGATTACTCTGCGTATGCCCAAAACAACTTTAAGCTATGGTGTTCTAAGCTGGGATAATTCCACAAAAATTAGACACTGCTGTCGGCAACTTTACAAGAATATTGGTACCCTGGCAGTTGTTTCGATATATTTAGCTTGAGCTTGTGTTTTTGTTAAGAATAACAGGCTTCAGGCAGAGAATGACCTGTTCGGCTAACAGCTAACAGTGTTTAACCCCCTTCCTTGCCACGTTAAAGGGGTTAATTAAGGCCGGGATTCTTGATTCGTAATCGTATTCGTACTTTTGTTGCGTATCATGGACATAGGGCAGTTGAAAACAAATAATATTGATTATACAATTTCTTAATTTGTAAAAATAATTTCATTCCTGACAACTTGACCTATTGCTTGGATTATTGAATTTCCGCAATCGATAAATTGCGTAAAGGTGTTGTAGATTAAATAAATAAATTTATTTATTTATTATTTATTTATTTATTTATTTAGCACTTGGCTATTTACATAAGCAAGTAAAATTTGCATAAACAAAACTATAAACTTCGCAAATACCCCTTGAGTCTCTTCTTGAACATTCTTCGGCAAGGCGCGCCCTTAATATTATCCGGCAGTTCATTAAAATTACAAACACCATCGTAGACCTTTTTTCCAACCATAATTTAAGATAGCCTTGCTGGTGATCGTGCGCAATTCCATAAACCAACATTAAACTTGCTCTTCTAATAAACTGCCCGACATTTAGCCAATTTAGCTGGTCTAACATACTCTTTATAGGAGTATATCTATCACAGTTCAGGATGATTCTCATAACCCTATTTTGTTGTAACTGTAACCTATTTAAATCTTCTTTTGTACAATATATAAGCAATGAACAAACATATGAGAAATGAGGCAAAATTATACTATTATACACTAATATCCTAGTCCACTGCGATAAAAACCGCGATACACGGTTAAAAAACCCTATTTTCTTACCAATTTTTTTGCATAGATATTCAATATGATTACTAAAGCATAATTGTGGATCCAAGATCACCCCTAAATATTTAATTTCCGAAACAAACTCAATTTTATTACCCTGTATATCCACAGAATACCCCGACTTATAAGATTTTTGACAGTTAACCTTAGAACCGATAACCATGCACCTGGTTTGGAGCTATTTAATTTCAGTTCATTTTTACACAGTCATTCGTAGAAATACTGCATTTCGGTGTTCAGTTTGGTTTCCAGAGACTGAAATAAGCATGTCATCAGCAAATAAGTTACCAAGGGAGTTTTTTAAAATCTGATGCATATCATTTATATAAATAATAAATAAAAGCGGGCCCAACACGCTTCCCTGCGGTACCCCCCATCTGCTATCCCTATGACTAGAAACATTATTATTAATTTTAGTCTGCTGAGATCTGCTGAGTTATTTATCCATTCTAGTGCAGAGTCTTTAATGCCATATAAACCTAATTTTGTAATAAGAATGTCCCTGTCAATAGTCTCAAATACACGTTTAAAATCTACACTCAAAATTAGTTTTGATTCATTCATATCTTTCCGCCACACTGCACACATATATTGCAACGCAGATTCGCACGAGTGTTTGCTCCTGAAACCAGACTGTCCGCTGTAGAGTAGGCAGTTCCGCTCCAGGTAGTCTATCGTTTCCAGGATTTTATCCACTACTGGCAGCAAGTTAATTGGTCGAAAATCACCAGGTGTTTTCGGTTTTGACACTTTAGGTATGGGCACTATGATGCTTGTTTTTAGTTTATCAGGGATTTTTCCGGCACTTAAAGACGCATTCACCGAATATAACAACGGATAACTTATTACACGAAATAAATCCTTGACGAGCTTAATATTTAGAACAGAGTCACCTGTACTTTTATTTTTTAGGTTATTTACAGTTTTTTGAATCTCCGATATAGTTATTTTTTTAAAGCAAGACAACCTACAGCTGACCATGTCACACGCAGAGTGCCATTGCATTATAAATAATAAATTCCGCTTAAGGATTTTGTTTCATGATTTTTTTATAATTTGGAGACTGTCCTTTTCGATGTGTTTTTGCATTTTGAAGTTCAAATATTAATACATTTCCCTTCCAGCAAAATATATACGAGGAGTAAAAATTACACCCCGATTAGCAACAAAATGAGGGGCAATATTCTTACTCACGACACACACGATTTTTTACGCTTACCATATTGACCATATACGTATGACACAAGCCAATTATCATGAATAATAACGAGCAAAACCGCTCCCGTCTCCCGTGCTGCAGACCGTATAAAATTGAAAGCGAACATGTTTCAAAAGCACGAGACGGGAATGAGAAACTTAATAAGGTATATTGTTAAACCCACCCAAAAATCGATAGATGTTCCTCGATAATCCTGTGTTCGGGGTTGATAACATTTTGGAAACGATGTTAAGAAAATATCCAAGACATTTGTTGCCGGCGAGTATGATTTTTAAGATAATAGTGGCAGATAAATGTAATGTGTACCTTCCAAAATACGGAAACAAAAAAATTATATTTCAGTGAACATTTTGAGGATTTTATCTTAAATTTCAAAGGGTTATTAAATATAAATATAATAAAAAGTCAAATATTCACCAACATGATAATTATAAATTCCAATTAGAACAAGAAAACATAAAATTTTGTGTAAAAAATAATGGTTAAACATAGTAACTTATTCAGCGAAAAACTATGGCAAATAGTTACTTACTAATCAATCTATAAGCGATGAGTATGCAAATAAGCATCTAAACAAAGCAAGCAAAAAATGCGCTTAAATAAGGAGCTCAAATTAGCTTCTCCAAAGAATTAATGCAATTTTTTTTATAAAAATACAGTTACCTATAAACCTATATAAATTATTGAATTTGTATCCAGATTTATAGGAAAACTACAATTACAGAATTAATCCGGTAGCTTAATGAAATAAATTAGAAAAAAAAATAAATTTCCTCTGACACCAGTGTCCTCGCCTGCAATTTTTTTTTGTCAAAGATTATACATACATACAAATTTTTACAGTGGTCTATAAATTGTTGAACCGCGGGCGGTTGTCTCTGATGCCATCCCTGTTACATAGAATTTAAGGCCATGTTATCCTTCCTCGTAATTTTACTTCCCGCGCCACCTGTGGGCCAATAGGAAAACTACCCTAACAGACGATTTGGTATGCTTAGAGACTTCTAAGGAACAGTATAACATTTGACTTTATTCCTTACTAGATGGAGGCGTAGCACAAATACAAGAAATAAAAGGTTTTCAGGTTTTTTTGGGGCATCCTTAATTTGACATTGCTTGCTTAGTAGATACTACCGAAAAAGGATTATCAGAGACAGCAAAAAGATGCTGATATTTAATAAATTATTAATTATAATAATTAATGGCAAAAAAATTTTCTTCTGTGTTTGATTTAAATGTCGCGAAAAACACATTTTCTAGCATGTCATACAAATTTAATAAAACTAAACTGCATTTATTAAATAACATATATGCAACAAACAACAAACAAAAACTCAATTACCAAATAAACAATTTAAAACAATTATACATTCCAACATCTAGCCAAAACAAATAATACAAAAGTTGAGTTTACAAAAAGAAGAGAATTCACAAAAAAGGGAAAATAAATAACATATATAATCGGGCAGTGCAAAAAACTATTCGTGTTTCGAGGTGTAAAAATAAAAACACTATAAATTACCCATTCCAAGCGTTATCTGCTAAAAGGTTATTATACTGCCCAATTATCGGATTCCTATCGTAAGTGTTACTTCAGGCGATACGCCACTGTGCCGAGAGAGACGTATAATGGCGCCAAGCGTAAAACGCTGCTCGCCGAACGCTATTTGACAGTTGGGAGTCGCATTATTCACCGTTTTAACGTTTAGGCACACTCTGCCTGTTCTCAGTCGGTTCGAAGGCGTGCTAATTTTAGCACGCTGGTGTAATGTGTCGTGATACTAACATGCGGTCTCGTTGTGTTTGCGTGCTGTGGCAGTGAAGAAAAAAACAAAAATGTCAAATGTGAGCCAAAACATTCCCTCCTCCGCCGACGCGTGTCAAAATATCGTTCACACGTTGATGTGTCATCGACAAGGTGGTGAAAGTGAAAGTTTTGCGCGTAGGGCCATCGAATCTCTTGTTAAAAAGTTAAAAGAGAAACGGGACGAGCTAGATTCGCTGATCGTTGCCATAACAACCGGTGGCGCCCAGCCTAGTAAGTGCGTCACAATACAACGAACTTTGGACGGTCGACTACAGGTGGCAGCTCGAAAAGGTGGTGGATATTTTCCTACACTTAAAATTTGATCATTAATCCTTCAGTTGTTAAAACCGGAGGCTAAGTGTTATGCGTAATACAAATTCGATTTCCACAGTTTTCATAGGTTTTTTAATTGCTGAAAACGATTTATGTTTGTCGCGAATATAAAGCCGTGATTGACCTAGGTTCGGGTCGAGGACGCGACAGGATCGGATCCATATATAAATACTCCATTGTATCCGTACTATAAATGGAAATTGCTTTTTCATATTGAACCGAATTTGGATCCGATAAATATGTTTTGCTTGATTGCTGCGGTAAAAAGGCAGCTTATAGGTATTAAGTAGGTATCTATTTTATTAATCAGTAAACTTTTGTTAAGTGTGTGTGTGGTATCAACAGTCACAAATTTCAATAAAATACGCATGCTTTAAATTCCGATTCAGACACGATTAATTCAGCCGTCTCGTTTTAACTCAGTTGCCAAAGGCGCGTTTACACGGTTTAGTTTGGATGATCATCTCGAATAAACCATCCATATTGATAGCCAAATCAAATTGTAGGCATTGGTGGACAAGGCCGTGGGTGGGAAACATCAAACTTCGTTATAAGAGTGTTTTCAACAAGATTAAACTGCAGGAGAGTGCTTTGCCTCCTTAGAAGCATTGTATGGAACATTGTACCCTATAGCGTATAGCACTCTATCCATAGTAGAAAGGATGTAATCTTTCCGCCCTTATCTATTTACTGTATTAAGAATATTTTCATGTTTCATTTCTGATGATTCAACCTCGGTGAAGTGCAAAAAGTGAAAAGTAGCATCCGGGTTACCTTCGGCTTACCTTCTGGAGGATCACTTTCAAGAATAATACTATACTAAGTTTATTATTTTTTTTGCTTTAGATGTTTGATACAAGAAAATCATCCAAATTGAACCGTGTAAAAGCGCCTTACCCTATTAAATGAAATATCTCCAGATTCTTTGTATTTCCCATGTACCTAGTTTTATTATTTAGACCGTAAACTTTACCAAAATGCAGGATACTGTTAAAAAGAAAAATCCAAGACTACTTTTAAAAAATTACAAAAATTATCTGTCAATGTTTACATTTACAGGTTCAAGAAAATGCATTTTCTTGAGGGGTATATGTGAACATTAACCTTATAAGCTAGTAGATAATTTTTTGTTAATGTATGCTGAAAAAAAACTCCAATTTGAACAGTTTATTTCATGTTTCTTTTTGAAAACTTGGGTCTAATTTATAACAAAATTTATAGTAACACAATTATGTAATGAAAACAAATTGTTGAACAACAAATGAGAAAATCGGTATTAAAATAAGAGTAACATTTCACTTTATTTTCAAAATGATAAAATATTCTCGCACATTTAATTTTAATTATGGGAACAGGTAGAAGTCCCAATATTTTGCTCTTGAAAGACAAAACTGACATCACTTTGGTTAATGGCGAAATTTTGGTATGTTTCGTCAATAGATTTGAGAGCTACAACTACTTCTACAGATCGCAAGTATCTATGTATAGTCATATTTCTTTTACCATCTGTAAATTTGACAAGAACAAAATCACCATTTTTCGAATCGGCTAAGGGAGTACTTTTCAGAGTGATAATTTTTTCATTTTAGTTGAAATCTTCTTCCCAGGGGCTCTCTTAAATACTTTTAAAGGATTCAATTGAATCATGTTTTTTTCTGCCTCTTCTTTTTCATATCTTCATTTCTCTCAGGCTTCTTCAGTCTCTTTAGCCTTTTTACTGTCTTCGATGGTATAGTGATTGATTTTTGTTTTTTGGTTTTTCGCTCTGGGCAGAGTGCTGTTTTGCGGCCTGGGCCAGTGGTGTCTATGGAAGTTTTGTGTCCATTAGTCCTTTGCGAAATTACTGCAATAGGGAGATTATAATATTTTTGAGCTTGCCGTTAAGTTTTGTTGTGGTTCTGAACATCTGTCACAACATTATTGAGGTTTTTTTCGTATATGCTGGCCCATTTGTCTTGCGCACATATTTTCGAGGCATCTGAAATATTAAAAAATAAAAATAAAATGCGTGTTTACATTTACCCCAAAATGATGTTTACTTTTGCCCCATATTGCAAAATATCTGGGGCAAATGTAAACACTCTTGAATTATTTTAGTAATAAAAATGAAACATTTGAAACCAGTAAATAAGGAGAAAACAAAGCCTTAATAATCCTCGAAAATTGTCCCTTACCTTGATAGTAATTCATTTACATACACTTTTTAGCACTTGTTCTAAACGGAAAAACGAAATTTTTGCAGAGGTTTGAGAAGCACATGCATCTATCCAAACAAATTCGTGAAAACAACGTGATCCCTTAAATACCACTAGTAGGGTAAATCTCGAAGAGTCGCGGCATTGCAGTTTGGTGGTAAATTTAAACTCGTTTTAGGTGGCATTTACAATTGCTCCTATTTACAATTAACCCGGTTAACCCTACCTCTTTTTCAAAGAAACTTCCAACAGACTACTGTAATACTTTTTATTTTCAAAGAAACTTCCACCGTAATACTTTTTAGAAAACTTCTGGATTCTTCCTGCATCGGTTTTTGCTGAGTTGAAATTGCTGACGTTTCGCCAATCATGACTGACTGACTGAAACTGTCAGTCAGTCAAGAGGAATTCAGAAGATTTGTCTGAGTAAAGTGTCGCCCATTTCTTCTCTAAATAGGAAAATGATATTTATAAAGCTTGGAAAAATGATCAACAAAGATAATTTAGATGTTATGAGGTTACAATAAATACCGACAAGGCGAACCCACTTTGATTAGTTCCCATCTTTCCATACCACTAACTGTACTAGATTTTTTTTTTGGGTAATTCTTGCCTATCTGATATGATATGTGGATTTTAAAATTAGCCCGAACTCTGATGGAGCAATGTGAATTTCGAAATTTGTGGGTAATTCTCTTTCTATTTAACCAACTACGCTTTCTTATATTTCATCCTTATTTCCCTGCATCGGGTGATTTCCCACAGAGTTTCCATTTTGGATGTGACAATGCCGAGTCTAGTGTTGATGTTCGTTTTTGAAAGTTGGTATTCCATTTGAACCATGTACTTCGTAGTTCGTTTTGTTGTTTTTTAAGAGATATATTTGTATTCCATAAAGTCACATCAAATTGCCATTTTTGTTTTCGCCAAAAATATTACAGGAGAAAATAAGTGGCCTATAAAATACCAAAGCTTTATATGGTAAAGTATGTTCATAGATATATATATATATATATATATATATATATATATATATATATATATATATATATATATATATATATATATATATATATATATATATATATATATATATATATATATATATATATATATATATATTAAAGTGACTAACTGATACGAATTAAGGAAAGACCCGGGCAAGCTGTAAGAATGAAATATGGCCGAACAGGTCCGTACTTTGCTTAGAATTTAATTATTTGGAGTTTTGTTAGGAAAGATACTAAACAATATTAATTTACTTATATATGTGTTTATGTTTAAATCTAAAATAAAATTACAAATTATTTTTATTACCTATTTAAATTACTTAAAATTATTCACATAATATATCAGTATCACTATCGCTATCATCGCCTGTTCTAATTATTATTTGTACTATATTATTTGCAATATGGATATACGATTGTTCTGCTTTTTCTATATGTTTAACAGAATTTGCCCAACTTTGTGGAGGGATGTTAATAACTTCTATACGTTTGAGGACATTGGAGTTAACATGGGGAAAAACATTGTTACGACGAATGGCAGATTTCAGTTGGTACCAAACATGTTCGATGGGATTAAATATACAGTGGTAAGGTGAAAGCCTTAAAACTGTATGCCCAAGATTTTTTGCATAATTATCATAGACGTATTCCTTTTGTAGGTTCCAGCTTTGTAGAACCTGAATTAATTGCTTTTTGGTATAATCTTCGTTAAAATAAATGTCGTTATTATACATGTAGTTTTGGATTGTTGCTTTTGTGTCACATAAGGAAGTGGCTTTAGTCAACTGTCTACTGTGATAATTTGCATTGTCCATTACAATAACGCTATTAGGAGGAACGTTTGGAACTAGTTTGTTTTTAAACCAACTTTCAAATAAATCAGCGTTGGTGTCTTCATGGTAATCCAGAGAAGAATCTTTAATATTTTTCGCAGACAGAGAAAGTCCATTTGAGTCCATCTTTAGAGCCAGCATGCAAAATAGTTATTCTTTTACCTTTTATTTTTCAATCCTTCTAATTAAGATATCTAATGTAGACACGCTTTGTTCCTCGTATAACTGGTAAATTTTACGCCGTATTATATCTTGATCACTTTCATCTACACTCGAGAAAATGTCAGCATTGCTTCCTTTTTCCTCGCTGAAATGCGATTATTCACAATTTTCCAATTTTCTTCAATGTGGCCGTTTCTTCTAAAGATGCTTGCTTGCTGGCACCACGTTCAATGAGAGTCAAATAAACATTGTTTACAACTTCGTTAGTCTCAATAGAATAGTGTTTTCTACATTTGGGCGGGAGAATCTCTTGAGACTCGCACATATTTTGCATAATTGGTACACTATATTACACACGAAATAATAATGATTACTAATAAACTTAAACTAAGTAGTATACCAAACCAAAGAATATTATTATATCAATAGAATAAATAGTGTTTTCTACATTTGGGCGGGAGCATCTCCTGAGATACACTAGACTCGCACATATTTTGCAGAATTCGCACACGATTCAACACACGTTGTATTAAACACGAAATAAGAATGATTACTAATAAACTTAAACTAAGTAGTATAGCAAACCAAAGAATATTAAACACAGGTAGGTATAAAATTATTTTCTATTACGGACCACAATTTTACCTGAATTTAAATTCCGAAACTCTAGGTAATAATCTTGTTGCATTGTATGTTAATGACCACCCTTGGATAATCCCATTCAAAAGCTATTGGTCACTTTCTTATATCTATGAACAGACCATAGGAGGTGTGTTCAAAAAGTATCGCGAATTTTGTGTTTTTTCAAAAATTATTTATTTATTCATGAATATCTATTTTGTCCCCTTCAAAGTAATCGCCATGAGATATTATACACTTGTGCCAACGGTTTTTCCAATCTTCGAAACACAAACAAAAAATCTTTTTTTTTTTATCTTCTTTAGCTCCTCCTTCGATGCCGTCTTTATCTCGTCAAGAGAAGCGTAACGTCGTCCTTTCATGGGCCTCTTCAGTTTAGGGAACAAGAAAAAGTCACAGGGGGCCAGATCTGGGGAATACGGTGGCTGCGGCATCATTAGTGTGTTGTTTTTGGCCAAAAAGTCGCGCACAAGCAACGATGTGTGAGCAGGGGCGTTATTGTGGTGCAAAAGCCAATTTTTGTTCTTCCATAAATCCGGGCGTTTCTGGCGGATTGCTTCGCGCAAATTGCGCATAACTTGCAGGTAATATTCCTTATTGACCGTTCTTCCCTGTGGCAAGAACTCATGATACACCACGCCCCTGCAATCGAAGAAAACTGTCAGCAAAACTTTCACATTCGACCGAACTTGGCGCGCTTTTTTCGGTCTTGGTTCGTGCGGCAGCTTCCATTGAGATGATTGAGCTTTGGTTTCCACGTCATAACCATAAACCCACGATTCGTCACCAGTTATGACCCTCTGGAGCAAATTTGGGTCGTCGCAGACAGAGTTTAACATCTCATTAGCAATGTTCATGCGATGCTGTTTGTGGTCACAATGGAGCAATTTTGGTACGAATTTCGCGGCGACCCGTCTCATGCCCAAATCATTGATAAAAATCGAACTTCTCTAACGGTGATTCGACGATTCGCCAATACCATTTTCTCTACTTCATTAATTTTTTCGTCTGTTGTTGAAGTACTCGGGCGTCCGGCACGCTCTTTGTCGTTCACATCTTCTCGGCCTTCTGAGAACATTTTGTACCACCGATAAACGTTGCTTCGGTCCAAGGTAGCTTCTCCGTATGCCACAGTCAACATTCGGAATGCATCCGCGCACTTAATTTCGGTTTTCACACAAAATTTGATACAGGTTCTTTGATCCATTTTTTTGAATAGGTAGAAATCGAAGACGATCCAAAACACGTGCAAGCAAAGCAGCTGTCAACAATTAAATGAACATTCAAAATGGCCGAGCTTGTCGGCATAAATGAGAGACATGAGTACCAACATAACGCCACAAAAAATTCGAAATTCGAATATACGTAACCCGCGAAAATTCAAAATTCGCGATACTTTTTGAACACACCTCCTACTATCCTGCACCGCGACTCGACCGGACCCTGGCCATTCTCAATCGTGTTTCGATCATTATTATATTGATTAACTCAAAACATGGTGTGAAAGTTATACCTATTAATGGGATAAAGGAAGAAAAATAATCGAATAAATCTTTTTATATCGCTAGGATTTCCTCATGTGATTTACGCCCGGATATGGAGGTGGCCCGATCTTCACAAGAACGAACTAAAACACATGAAATTTTGTACGTACGCGTTTGATTTGAAATGTGACCTTGTGTGTGTGAATCCATATCACTATGAAAGGGTCGTCTCGCCCGGATTGGATTTATCCGCCTTAACACTACAAAGCGGACCGGCAAGAAACAATGGCACGATGATGGAAGTCGAAGGCGAAATGGGTACTTTATTGATTCCAGTATTATATTTTCTAATCACAGTAAAGCATCACTCGTTTGATTCGATTGTGTAAAACGACTATAAGAGCAGAAACGTTTGGTACTTTATAAACTTAGGAATTTCAGTATTGAAATGTTTACACCACGTTTTTGATAAGCAATCATCATTTCGTGGCAACCTCATACAAATATGTCAAAATAATATTTTGCAGAGAACTGCCTTTATTTGGAAATACTGCAATAGAGAAGAGTCAATAATTGCACGTCACCCAATTTTCAACAACGTTTTCCTAAAGCATCTATATTCAATCGACCGTGAAACACCAAGTATATGAATTAATTTATTGTTATATTATTACTTTTTTTTTAAGGTTGGATTTCGCTTTATAACAAGGCAAATCGCCTAGTAAGTCTCTGTAGTTAAAACTTAAGCCACATGTTCAGTCCAATTTTGAGATATGGACAATTTGCATCTTTCTGCATGTAAAATTATAAAAAAAATAAAATGACAGTTTGGGATGTTTTTTTTTTATTTTTCTTTGTTAATTGGCCAATTTATTGCAAGATATATGTATAGTAGTGTTTATTATAATTGCGAATAATTTGATATTATATTATCTTCAAATATAACTGCCACTGGCAACTGTTCGTAATTCGTGATTATTTGATACCTTTCAAACTACTTCTGTTTCTGCAATCACTTTCTGAGTGGTAGCTTTACTGTGCTTAGAGGATGCTTATTAACCATGAAAATTAGTAAATCCTATAAATTGGAGATTTAATGGACAGAGATATATTTTTAGTTATGGTGAAAACCTTCATTTCTATTGGATGTAGTCTTGGGAAATCATGGAACAAATTTTGATTAATTATTTTTAATTAAGTTGGAAACAATTTTAATCGAATTTTCTTTCGTTTTGGGAAAAATATACTTTAGCTGTAATCCCAAAATTCTTCGAAACAGGCAAACGTTAGATATCATTCAAGCTACTCTTCTAACTCTCCAATTATCAGATGTACCTGTCTTATGACAGTGTAGAAAACGCGTTCCCGGCTCTGGACTTATTTGCTCTGAGCTGTGAAGCCTTTAAACTACACTGAAGACGGTATATCAATTAACATTCTGTAATAAACAGCTGTAATTAGTTCTTAATTAGATTTAGCTTGTAAAAAATAATTGAAACTAGCTACGTCTGTCTGAAGGAAAGGCTTGTTAATAAATAAATAAAGTGGCTATTTTTAATTAATTTTAATATATTTTTTTAAAAAGTGAAAAATCAATATGTAATTATAAAGGCATATATTTATAAATTTTGTTAGAAGTAGGAGAGTTGATATGAGTTATCTCAATATTTAATTTTTTCTTTTCCTATAGGCATGACTCAGGCTGTGCAACATCATCATCCTCAACACCAAATCATTAATCAACCTCAACCAGCACCTGGGATGTTTGGTATGCACATGCAAAACATGCCCATCACTAAACAAGAAAAACTACCTCCAGAACAACGTGATCTCTCTAGTTGGAGCCAGCATAGTGTTGGTATGCACCACATGTCCCCAACACAACCTCTCAGTATTCCACCTCCGATGCCACAGGTGATTAATTTATGTGATTATTAAAATTAATTTGGAGCAATGGGGTGGTTAAAAAAAAATTGTTCTTATTTATTAATTTAGCCCTAAAATAAGCTATTTTTCAGCCCCTTCCTAACATGTCTCCTACTGATCAACAAAATATTCAGTTTTACAATGGGAAATCCGAACAAAATTCTCAGAATATGCTCGAGACATCACCTAATGCCGTAGCGCAGTCATCACAGAATAACGTAACCGTTGGTAGTTCACCGGCAATTAAAAAAGGTCTATACACGGCCAATTGGAAACAGAATAATTTGGCCATGACCGTTGCCGAACCGGCTAGTACCGGTTTCTTGTCGAATCAACCACCACCCGAATACTGGTGCTCCATTGCGTATTTTGAATTGGATACTCAAGTTGGCGAAACGTTTAAGGTGTTATCAAAAATCCCTACGGTGTCGATAGATGGTTACGTCGATCCGTCAAGGGGAAACAGATTTTGTTTAGGTACATACAAAGACATATTATTATATCAAACTAACTGGTCATAGTCAATTAGTTGTGGACAATGTGTACTGTTTTTTAGGTGCTTTAAGCAACGTCCATAGGACGGAACAAAGTGAAAAGTCGCGACTACATATCGGAAGAGGTGTAGAGTTAAACTTGAAGGGTGAAGGGGATGTCTGGTTAAGGTGTTTGAGTGATCACTCTGTATTCGTACAGAGTTACTATTTAGACCGAGAAGCTGGACGACAACCTGGCGACGCTGTTCATAAAATCTATCCAGAAGCATATATCAAGGTACGCTTGGGATTTATTTTTAGTGTATCTCAAAAGGGTCGGAAAAAACAACAATTTTGACAACCTTAATTCCCACTTAATTCTGATATAAAGTTTCTTCCCTTTAGACAGAATGTAATTAATTAACAAATATCCTATATTTCTCACTGGGTGCAATAATGGCAACTCTAAAAAAATAGCTGTTTATCACACATTTGTATTTTAATTGTCTTACTTCAGTTCCGCTAGAGAGAGTTAGTGCCACTATTAAATTTCCCTCGTTTTTTAACGATCTTACGAGCGAAACGGGCGCATAACTCATTTGTCTGTGATCACTGCAGAGTACGTAATGTTATTAAAAAGTGCGAAGAAGACAGGATGAGTTACGATGATTTTTTTTATTTTAAAAAACTAATAACTGAAACTTCTTTTAATTTTCGTTGCAACACTTCAGGCGATATTGTCCAACTAAATGACGCGTGTGTTTTCAAAGTAGAAAAAGAAGTGAAACTACAGAAGCATAAGCATTTCGCAAAGAAAAATGCGGGCTGAATCTAGACCGTACTTATCGAGATGTTATACCAATTCCAAATTAAAATGACTTAATGGATTTGCTAAAAAGTAGCCTGAGATGTGCTTTGGAAATAGTACTTTTTGTTTATTTTCCAAAAATCAGGTCAGTTGGTTGTTGTTTTTACTTGAGAATAGCTGAGCTTTTGTTTACGTGCCATGATAATCCTGGTTTCTTATAATTTTGACAACAATAGCTCTCTACCAAAAACCATTGGTTGTTTTTTATTATTTCCTCTTAAAAGACTACTTATCTGATAGTTGTTTCTTTTATTTTAGAAATAATACCTACTTCGACATGTATCAAAAACTATAGGTTGGTTGTTTTTTACTTATAGCTTTTCGATGTTTTTTTGTAGTTATTGTTCAATTTCCCGTTTGGGATTTTTTAAAGTTACTCTTATTTACCTATCTCAAATTTTTTTTGGCATATTATATTTTTATCCGTATTTTTATAATAAAATGATGTTATAACTTTGGTCTACTCTTTTATTGAGAATTTTTTTTATCAAAATATTGCATTGTATTTGTGAAATTGATATGTTATCTCAAATTTCAGTTTTTATTTTCTTAAATCACTGATTTTCTCTGAACTGGTATTTTGTGGATGTGTCACTATTGCACTCAGTGAGCGATATGATGACACAAAATATTGAATCTGATTATTACTTCGTTCTAAAGCTTTTAAAGTACGCAGAACTTTCTGTAAATTTGTTTCTCTTTGATGAAACCATTAAAAAAAAATCTCCATAACATGCACCACACTTCTGCATATATTAATTTTGTCGTTAGAATCTTACAAACGTTATGCAATAGAGGTGTCTCAAATTTAGGCAAGGTTTTGTGCTGTTTTGGTTAGTTTAGTTAGATGACATATAATTTAAAAATTGTTGCTGCATTATTGCCAAAGAACTGAAACTTTTTCATTTTGATAGCAGTTAATCTAGAGTTTACTTCAAGAATTTTTGACGGGACAGTCCCTATTTTTCACAATTTGCACTGCGTCCCGGGACGTTCAAAAGTCTCTACTTTTAGAATTAATTTAAATTTTATATTTATGAAAATCATTGTTTTGGGTTCTAAGAATCCTACGGACTACGGCGGCTAATATATTGCTTTTGCTACCCACTTATATTGTATTTCTCTCTCACTTCATGTTCGTACTGCACGCTAGCAAGATAACTAAACAAATACATATACGGAACTAAAACAAAATGTACTACTCAGACCAGAACTATTCAAAAAGAAAAAAGGAAATAACTACTACATAGAGGAATGCACGTCATTGGAAAAACCACATACGAAAGCGTAGGATACACAGCAAGATATACATTAAGAAAATTAGACAAAAGTGACTATAAAAAAATGACATTGAGCCTGAAAAACTAACAATGTCAAAAGATATCGGTTTGAAATTTTTTGAAGAAAATTGAGAAACAATTTATAAATATGATTACATACCTACCGAAGACAGAAACTTCTGCTATTTACCATAGAAACATAAGGTAGATAATTCATGTATATATTTCATAAATACATAACTTTTCTTAAACCTAGCTTAAAATACCCGTAGTCTTCATGTTTTATATTGATGACAAAATTTATATCATCGACTTTAACCTTGAAAGAAATTTTAGAAAGAATTATACGAATAAAATTTTGCAAATATTTTAAGTCAATCGTATTAAACTAAAACATTTTTTTATATTTATAAATTATGATATTATTCTTATTCTCGATACCGCCACCGCCCCCCCACCCACCATCAGAATTTGCCCGCTTTGTCCATCGTGTAATCTGGTGACCTTACCTATACGCCTATTCACCAATAATGTTTTTTTAATTTATCCATGCTTAACGGCACTGATTCATAACGTATCGAAATTTAATTATGAAGTGGAGTCGGATACACATAACTTGGGCAAAAATCAAAACAAAACTTTTTTCTATGCGTATTTGTACGTCTTTCCAACTTGCGCTCGTAAAATAGTGTTTAACTCGAAACTAAATTTATGTTTGAGTTTTTTATCGTGTGCCTGTTTGTTAGGTTTTCGACTTACGCCAATGCCATCAGCAAATGACAGCACAAGCGGCCACAGCACAAGCAGCTGCGGCTGCGCAGGCCGCAGCTGTTGCTGGCCATATTCCAGGGCCGCACTCGGTCGGCGGAATTGCACCGGCTATGAGTTTGTCGGCCGCCGCCGGGATCGGAGTAGATGATTTGCGACGATTATGCATTTTGAGACTGAGTTTCGTGAAAGGATGGGGTCCGGATTATCCCAGGCAATCAATCAAGGAGACACCCTGTTGGATCGAGGTGCACTTACACCGAGCCTTACAGCTTTTGGATGAGGTTTTGCACAAGATGCCGGTTGAAGGGGGATGTGTTGCGAAGTGAATCATTGATTTTGTTTGGAGGTTGACTTGTTTGCAAAAAACAGCAAATAAAATTGGAACATTTGCACCTGGATGAAACTGAATCGTTTTTTATACACCTTCGTGCTCCATTAATGTAACGTTTATTGGGCACGCCACCACCGCACCCCGAAACTGTTAATGTTACTGAATTTTTCCGGATTTTTCAAAAGAAAGTAAATAAACATCAAGGAAAAACTCGACACCACACTTTGAAAAAGGGTTCCTTAATGTTCCAATTCCAAATTGACATTTTCATAGGGCAAAATTTATGCATCAAGTTGTCATTTGAAGTACATCAAAGTGTAAAGTTATATTTGGATGTTTATTTACTTTTAAAAAGCAAATCTGCTTTCAACATTTACCACACCCTGCTTAAGCCAAATTTAGAAGCTTAGGAGTTAGTTCCAGTATTTACTGCAAATATGGCAATACAAAACAAATTTATCCAATGTTTTAGTACTCCCTACATATAAATTCAGGCTCCTTTAATTTTTTTTTGAAAATTCTTTACAAAAATGTGTGGCGAAATTCATATGCCAAGTAAACGTTACCGCACCAAAAATTCTATTTGGTTCTTGTATAATTTGTCCAAGTGCAAAGACAGAAAAACGCGTGTCAGGAAAAATATTTTCCATCAAATTAAAAAAATAGAAAAGAAAAAAATTATTGTATTTAATTAGCTTACCTGCAAGCAATCATTTAAGCGTTTTGTTGGTAGAACTATTGTTTCAAAATTGAAAACATGTATAAGCTACATTGTGTAGATTATCTTATATTGTTTTATTTATGAGAAGATTTTTATTAAAACATGTGATTTTGTTATCTATTTTTGACGAAAATAATTAAGGAGATATTATGATCAGTTGTTTCTATTGATGAGTATTGATTGGCTATTTGTAGTTTTTATAATATTGAGATATAAAAGAATTTTTTTCATCTGATGGTATCCTTCGTTTGTATTTAAAGATAGTTTGAAATATTTGTTTAGTGACTTTGAGAACTTTGGGAAAGCTTCAAGTTCACGTTCACAGTCATTCTTTTCACAAAAGTATACCCAAATATATTATTTTTCTTGTTAAGCCATAGTCAGCTTAGTTGATTAAAATATTTTTAGTTTTGAAAAAGAAAAAGTGACATTTAGTACCACAAATTAAAAGAAATAATTTAGATATATATATATATACCCATATTTATTTTTGCCCTGTATATTTTTTGTAATAAAATATTTGAGTATAACTTTTTATGTTATTTTTTCTAATTGTGGCGTTTTTGAAATTCTACCATGTTTCACGCGTGTTCACGATATATCGCACCCTTAGAGAAGCTGAACTTTTAATAGCTGGTGATGGCGATGGTAACGGTTACAAAAATTCAAAAATATCTTTGCATTGTACTTGTCTCGTGTCCCCTGCTTGCAGATGTCCACACATTAAAAAACTCAAAACAGCTGCACATTTTGAAAATTGTTATTCAGAAAACTGCTACCAAGAACGGTAAAGTAGAGTGCAATCAGAAGCTTTTTGATTGGGTTATTTTTTAATGCAATAAATGTGGACGTTTTATATTAATCTTACTATACAACATTACTATAACAATTTTTGCCAATAAGTAATATGCATATTCTAACCCTTTTATAATTTTGAGGGGGATGGAGGGTATTTTAGTTGTTTCACTTTTTTTTTACTGGGTGAATATTAGCTATTACCCCTCAATCTGCACTAACAACGCATGTTATATCTATTACCATTTTCATGTACAAACTAAGAACTAATGGAAAAAATGTCAATGGCAGTGCAAACAGTAGATACTAACCACAAAAACTGTGCTGTCACACACGATTAGTTTTTGTTGTCTCCTAGCATCCCCTACTGGAATGAAACAGATATTCGGTAATATTTCTTGGTTAATAACATTTCTGCTATTCTGAAATCATAGAACAATCATATCAAAACTAAAACTTCTAAAGATCACTTTTGAAAGTTAATTGTTCTTTCAAAAAATTGGAGCAACTTTTTAAAAGTTGGGTTAAAAGTCAACAATTATATCGCATTACAATTATTGCAAAAAAGCACATTTTCTGTATATTTTTTACTTTTTAAAACGAGTGTAGGGGATTGAAATAGATTGCCTCTATCATTCTTCTTAACTAAATTGAAACAAACTTGACATAACGACATGGAAAAAATAAAAATTTCGACAGACGGGTTTATTAAAACCTTTTCTCCCTCCTTCAATTTTTTGATAAAACTTACAGTTTTCAAATAATCAAATAAAATGTAAAGCATTGCATGTCGAAAAAAAAACATCCTCCAGAAGATTATAATTTTTTATTTGGTATTATAGGAAAATTGCAATAGACAAGTGTTGCTAAATAAGACAAAATTAAAAAAATATATTTTTTAAGTCATTGCATACCCTTTATTTTAAACAAGGATTCACTCCCTTATGTTCTTGGAATTTGTTCTATATATGTAATAGAGATATTTTATGGTACTTTGCAACACCTACTCCATTTTTCTTAATCATTAGATTATTAAATAAAGATTGGAAACAAAATTACTGCAACTTCTGAATAAAAATCTCAAATTTTAGTAATATTTTTAACAAAATTTTATCTTTTTGAAAACAGTTAATTTCAAACCTTTGTAAAAACGATAAAATACAACAAAAACAACTTCTGTTTTTTAAAAATCAATTAAGGGAAACCTTACATTTGTCATTCAGAATTCTTTTTTATAATATATTGATTTTCTGTACTGAAAGCGGACCTAACGTGAGACCAAGAACGACGCTACTTCGCGGTAGAGGGCGCATTACAAAATCTATGGGCGAAACTATTTTAGAAACCGTAATGTTTTATCTTAAGTATATGTTTTACATTTTAACTTTTATTTTAATAATTCTGTACGTTAATATTGCCTTGAATAATAATAGCGTCGTGTGATTGACCGGTCAATTTTGTTTGAGTCAATTGTCCAGTCAAAGAAGTAATCTTAAAAATACAATAAAATTTAAATTTTAATGATTATTTATATTTATTTATATTGCTCGTAGAACGTCTTCGCCGTATTCTGAGAACTGACTGGAGTCGATATAATTATTGGGATTCCCCGAATCGCTAATTATCGTATTCGAGTATTCTTTGAAGGAATATTGGACATTACAAACGCAAACGCATAGGAAGTTGTACAATTGACCAACCCCAATGCTACATCATAATACAATTAATATAAATCGAACATTCCTTATGTTATTACTTACTCAGAAAGTTCAGTTAATTATTATTTAGAACATGTTTTATTATTTTTGTTTATTATTCATGACATATGCTTAACAATAAATGTTTTAAATTAATTGAAGTATTTAGTAACAATATACTGAGCGTCTCAACTGAATACATAAAATTTTAATTCTCCAGAACTTCTATAAATTTTTAATAAATCTTTGAAATATCAAAAAATTGTGTACAAGAAAGAACTCATTTTGTGAAAACATTTAGATGGCACACAAAATGTTAACATGTAGAAGATAAATAGTATTTAATTTTCCGTTTGGTTCTTCTGAATAGTTACAAAAATTTTCTTGTTCTTTTTTTCTTGTTTATATTGTTTCATAGATGACAGAATTTGGTAAAAATAAAAAACACAAACCATAGAAATTCGATGTTGATAAGATATACATTTCTGTCGTTTTGCATCTTTGATGGCTTCATTGAACCGCCCCTTATATGACTTCTGCTTCGGTGTAGAAATTTATTCTCTTTGATAATAGAGTTCTGGTTACTCAAAAATAAAATAGCTAAAGTCGAAAATAAATATTTTCATTTCATTTTCAGTTAAGCCGACGGCTCCGTGATAATCGTTTAATTTATACACTCCTTTCCCCCTTTGTTGACAGTGCTCTGGAAAATTCGGTAGTTAAATGCGAAACGGCTTCAGTGAGAAGTTTCGGGAAAATCACTGCAAGACCCCGTATAAATAAATGCTCTGACTTCAGGCCACCGGTCTTTATGAAATAATAAATGACTTCACATAACTCCCAAATTTAAACAAAATTATTTTCAAATTTATTTTTGAAAAAGAAAGAAAGCAGCTACCATTGATAGGTGATTGCTCATAAGTGTGGTACAATAGACGCGACATTTTAAAAATAGGAATGAAAACTGATTTGGCCATCTAGAAGGCGAGTCTGATCCTCATAAAATTCAGTAATTTCTTATTCTTATATATTCGGGAGAATTATCAGAAAAGAGTATAGTGAAGTCATCGCAGTCCGAAGTATATGTGAGATACTCCCGAATTTCAAACAAACGCCTGGAACAGCTATGGGTTCTTCACAATCAACAGTCATCGCGAATATATTTATGCAAGTCTTTGAGAAAAAAGCTCTCGACACCTTCCATCTAAAACCAACATTATGGAAACGCTATGTCGATGATACTTTTGTTATTTGGCCTCATAGTCAGGAATCCCTAGTCGATTTTCTTAGATATTTAAACTCGATACACCCTAATATAAGTTTTACCATTGATATAGGAACTAATTACAACCTCCCATTCTTAGATATTCTTATCAATATATCATTGTGTTTACAGAAAAACTAAAACTAACCCAAAATTAAAACTCCTTACCTCTGCTCTTTTCTCTAGTAATTTTCACGTTAAAGATATTGAGCGTTCCATCACAAAATACACTTCACTACAACTTTCCAATAGCAATGAAACCGAAAGCAATCCCACACTTGCCACTGTTGTCCTTCCTTATATTCAAAACATCATTGACCACATATGAAAAAATCTAAACAAATATAACGTCAAAACCAGATTTGCCTCTTGTCCAAAAATCCCTCAACATCTTCGATCCGTCAAAGATAAAATTCCATTTGAGATGCCAGGAGTTTACAGCATTCCATGCATATGCGGCAAAGAATCCATTGGAGAGACCGGACGAAAAATATCAATTAGGCTCAAAGAACATGAAAGAGCCTAAGACAAATAAACTCATCAGCAATTCCCTAACACAATCACGAAACCACACATAAAATGTTATGCGATAAAACTAAAATTCTGGTATATGCAATTAATTCTTCTACCAACGAAAAATCCGAGAGGCTATAGAAATCTATAAGCAACCTAACAATCTTAACCGCGACTCAGGTCTCTACCTGTCACCAATATGGGAATCAGTGATCCGAGACGGTATGTATTCCCCTCATTTAGCTCCGCCCCCCTCAAACAATATAAAAGAAAGTACAGAGTAAAATGCGAGCCAGTTTCATTCAAGCTCTGAAGAAGATAACAGGATGATTGACGAAACGTTAGCTAGTTCGAGTAAACAAAAACCGATGCAGGATTAATCCAGAATGATGTTCATTAAATATTTCATGTTACAAAAAACGATTCAAAACTAACCAAAACTAATCATTTAAATTTGTAGTTAGTAACAAGGGGCAAAAATCTTAGATAGTTATTAAGTTGGACGATAAATAAAATTGCTTTCAAAAAATCGTCATCGTTCGTAGCGCTTTTTATTATAAAAGGAAAGAACATCGCGGTTTCGTGTGGTAAAGGGACGCATTGTTTTTCTATCGTGCTCCTGCGGACCACTATGGAACTTTCGCAAAATCGATGTAATTTAATTGTACATGCACCCTGCATAAAATATCCTTCACATCTCGTCGAACTTCAAGCAACGCGTCGGTAAATATTAAAATTTGCACAAATAATAGCGAAACTCTCTCACGACACGGTTTATGATACTGTTCAAATAAAATTATCCCATATTTACCGGTTTTTCATTTATCGCCAATAATTTGGCCACAAAAACGGACATTTTTAGGATATTTTACATTTTTTGCCCATAAACGACACACCCTGTATATGATACAATCGTGGTTCGAAGTAGAGGTTATAGCCCTGGATTTTCCACGCGTCCTGGTTCAAGAATTTTTTGAAAATAGTAAATGGATTTCTAGAAAATAGGTTTTTTCTAAAACCATGCAGTGCGCCGTAATAATCAATGATGTTATCGCGTCTTGACAGCCCCGGAAATAACGATTTCAATATGGATTTTTTCAAATATCCCAAGCAGCGTATGCGATAGACATCGCTTGAACCAATTAGGCATATTTTTTACGATTTTTGATCTGCGGCTAATAAGTTATTCTGTAAAAGAACAATTTTGTAGGTCTTTTAGATGTTTG